CCTTAACCGTGACGGAGGGAAACCAGAGGGTAAGAGTCTTAAGAGAAGGTCGATGTTCGGGAATTCAAGTTCGCGTGACGTGTCCTAGTCGCAACACCGCCACTGACGTGCCCCAACTGTAGTCCGAAAAAAAATGGAGGGTAAATCTATATAATTACATCTTGAAAGCGGGTGGTATGTACTTTTTTGCGAGTGTCCAATCATAGATTGACCAGCTCCAGGGCGCGCGCACACACCTCGTCGATGCTCCACCGCTCGCTCCGGCCCAGCCCGTGCTTCAAGTCGAGCACGTCGCCGACCTCGTCGCACGCGCGCAGCACCGTGTCGACGTCCTCCTTCGTGTGTGATGCGCTGACACAGAACCGCACGCGGCTCGTCACGAGCGGCGTCGCGGGGTACGCGACGACGACGACGATGATCGGTGTCTGCCGGTCCTTCATCATCCAGTGGAACATGTTCATCTTGCCCGGGTTGAACAGCAGGAGCGGGACGATGGGCGACGCGGGGTGCCCGTACGTGATGAAGCCGAGCTTGATCAGGCCCTGGTGGAGATAGCGCGAGTTGAAGGCGAGGCGGCGCAACCGTGAGAGGCCTTCGCTGCCGTCGGCGAGCGACGGTGGGAGAGCCATCCACGTTGGGAGGGCCGATGCGGGGGCTCGGGCGGGGTGGTGGTATGGTTCTACCTCGAGTTGCGGCTGCAAGGTCGAGGCGGAGCTGTTCGAGCTCGAGAGGCTGGGCGGCGAGACGCCCATGATGCTGGCCATGCTTGCGACGACCTGGGTCAAGACCGGCGGGGTCATAGCTTCAGCATAAGGCCCAGAATGCCCCCGAACGCGTAGTCGGTCTATGAGAGCTTTGCTTCCGGCAATATAACCGCCTGCGGCGCCGAATGATTTTGTGAACGTGCCCATGAGAATGTCTATTGATCGCGGAGGGATGTCGAAGTAGTCCGCTACACCTCGGCCGTGAGGACCCAGGGCGCCAACGCTGTGAGCTTCGTCGACGAATAAAAAGAACTGAACACGAATGGTCAGAAAAGAATTCCAGAGTGCAGCCGTCCACATACCTTGTACTTCTTTTTCAGTTCCATGATGGCAGGAAGATTGACGAGCGTCCCTTCCATGCTGTAAAGTCCCTCCACGACGAGTAAGATCTTTTTCCAAGGGCGATGCGTCTTCGGTTGGCCTTGGCTGATAACCTCACGCAACAACGCCTCCAGTTTGCCCATGTCGTTATGCTTGAACATCCGTACGTTGGCACCGCTCAGACGCACACCAAACCGAATGGACGCGTGATTGAGTTCGTCGGAAATGACCAGACAGCCCTTGCTTACGAGCGCAGGTAGATAAGCCGAATTAGTAGCGAATCCCATGGAACTGATCAGCGCGTCTTCCATGCCAACGAATCTGGCGACGAGGGCTTCGGCCAGGACATGCAGATCGCTCGATCCACCCTCCAAGCGGGATCCACAAGAAGATATGCCCTGTTCTCTGATTGACGCTTCGACAGCGTCGGCGCATCCGCCTCTGGCCTGGGCAAAGCCGAGGTAATTATAGGACGAGATATTGAGAGCGCGGGTGCGTGTTCCGGTGAAAATTTGGTGGTGGTTGTAGTCGGGGGATATACGGTCGAGGAGCTGGATCGTGCGCCCGGCAACGCCAGTCACGGGCTGAGAGAAACATTCGTCCATCCGTGTTTTCAGGCGACGCGTGTAAAACGAGTCGAAATCAGAGTTGAGGGGTGCGTAGCCCTCGAGAGGTGTCAGACGAGGAATAGAAACGCTGGGGGATCACTCACGTCATTGGGCATCAGATGGCGGTACGAGGCGGGGTGAAAGCGTTTGCCCAGGAAGTCGCGGACATGGCCGAGGCAGATTAAAATAAGATAACTTATATAGGTGGATAATAGGATATAGTAGGGCGGGTCCTGGTCGACGTGGGCGGGAACAGGAGTGCCAGGGACATGGCGAGAGATAGCGCGATAGTCACCGTTCGAGCAGTGGCCGAATTCAGTGTGGACAGTAGTGAACACCTCTGAAGAGTTTGGGGCGCGAGGGGGGAGGGCCAGACCATCTGAGTTGTCTATCTCCATGTCGTCCTCGTGGAGCACGGTGTCCTCTGAAGAGGAGGTGACACTGGAGGACAGAGACAAGGCGGGGGTGGCTGTGGGGGTGATCCCATTCACGGTGCGGGCCTCTGCCTTTGAGAGGGTGGAGAAGTAGGAGGTCACAGGCACCGCCGACCGCGAAGACGCCTTTTTCTTGAAGAGAGACATGGGGGAGGAGACTGCTCAAGGAGAGCCCGACAAAACCTGACAAACCCGGTATTCGTAATGCAGAGCCACGTGAGCTCCCGTTGTCGCCCCTCAGAGTCACTGGCAGCAGTTTCAGTCTGAGTCTGAGTCTGTGGCATTCAGAAGGGCAAAGCAAAATGCCCCACCTATTCTATGCGACTTGGAGGCTTCCTTCATCAGTGACCGAGTCGACCGGTCTTTCTTTTGCAGCTCAGCCATTCGCTATTCGATCGTCGACTTTCTTGGACTCGTTCTGCTCCAAAATCTTCGCTCTCTCACCTCCCCCACCTCCAGACACACAGGGCAATATGGCCGAGTGGTCTAAGGCGCCCCAAGTTGTTTGGGCACATTCTGGAGCGGCTTGTGTCCTCCGTATCAGCAATTTGTCAAATTTAAATTTTCTTTGCGCATTATTACTTGGCTACTCCCACCCCCTGCAAAATGAGGTCCTATGTGATACCAAGTCCTGACCTCGTGCACTGCTCTGTAATTCTGGGCTGCTTCCCTCCGATCTGAGGTCTTTTGTGATTTGTCCTCACACACGGGCTTCCACGGGCTTGCTGTTGTCGATGTGTGATTCTTCCCTATTCTTCTGGGCTGCTCTCCTGCTATCTGAGGTCTTGATCATATCTTTCTGTGTTCTGTAGAACATCATATTGCCTGGTACCTCCGGGTTCTTGTTTTATCCTTCTTTCAGTACTATTTCGATAATTCGTCGTTCAAGGCTGACCTTTCATCTCTGGTTGATGGCGGGGATTGATACTTGCGAGGAGAGAACTGAGGCCATGCCCCACTGGGTTTCATTCGTCTGTCCTGTCGATCTTGTACACGGTGTGTTTTCACTACTTGTATGGCACTGGCACACCACACGGGCGGGGTCTGGCTACATTCACATATTTGAGATCTGCCGCCCGTCGGGAGAGTGAGCCTGTCAACGACTGTGCCACTTGCAGCGTTGTGGTTGTACATTTAGGCCGATCTACTATACTTGTATGAAACCGCGCTGGGTTAATATCCTGTAATGAAATTTTGTTTTCTGGTGTCGGTGATATGTTCTACGGCTCTACGACCATCGAAATCCGTGCAACCGTTACCGTTGTTAACTGAATGTCAGTTGCTCAGCGCTCAACTTCCGAGTCCCATTTCAAGGCATGTTGTGCTCCCAAATCCATAATTCACTGGCAGGCTTTGCCCAGACGATGATTTGGTAAACGTTCCATTCAGCGTTTCTCTACCAAGTCGACCGTGATCTTACGGATCCCAACCTCTGAATATACAGCTCCAGAGACATGCCATCGTCATACCGCGGAAAACAGCGGGGATACATGTCTCTCCAGGCATACATCCGCTCAAATGGAACTCCGGTGGACGACGCGGGCTCCCTATACTCGGACAGCCACCCCGCGCACTCCCAGCCCGGTCGCGCGACATGCGACGTCCGCCATCTGTTGTGCGGCAGGAGATCGCCGTGCATAGGGTGGATGCGACACGGTCGCAGCCGGGCTCGCTGCGGTCACGAACTTGTGCGCTTGTCGCTGAGGAAATTGCAGGACATTCAAACACAGTCAGAGGTCCCCAGCTGTGACTATTGCTGCACCGATTTGACTCGGCAGCAATTTTGTCACGTCAACCCCGCCGGATTGGAGGCCGCGAAGCTGTATGCTGCGGAGATACTGGAACTGAAGTTCAGAGAGCGTTACGCTCATCTGCTGCCAGTCGCGGATGTCAGTCTCGGCTGGAAAACCGGGAGGTATGCGGGGAATGTTAATCCGCAGGGTCTCCAGATTTTTGAGCTGTGAGCCGACGAGTGTGTCGCAGACAATTCGGGGCATGGCGTGAATGTAGCACTCGAAGGATATCGTTCGAAGATGGACATTTTGTGTCAAGTCAAGAAGTAGAATCTCTAATGAGATCATCAGTCAAGGGGCAGGCGTTGGAAAACGTTTCCCGACCTTTTCGTGGGTAGACAAGTACTAAGGAATCTAGAGAAGCGCCCGTAGCCGCCAAATATCTGGAAATAGCTGGGGACTCTTCGCTCCAGATGTCTCGCAACACCAACGACGACGTTACGGGAACTACTGCTAGAGAGAGGAACCAGCCCAGCATGGTCTTCAGCGGACAATTGAGATCCAGATACGCCAGCTTTGGAACTGTCGCTAGCACCGGTAGGTCCTCCGTTTCGTCCCCATCCCAATCTCCCAAGAGTTTGAGAGACCGCAAGGACGGGAGGCCCGAAATCCAGGTCGCAACGATAGAGAAGGAGTCCGCCTCAAATCCTTCCAAGCACAGAGACTGCAGGTTCGGGAATACGTGTGGTAATGTCGAAGGAGCGGCCGACAGATCCAGCCCATCAATTCGCAGCGACGTTACATTCCTGAGACCGCTGGCGGCAAACGTGGGGAACGCCATGCCCTTGGGCATGGACTCACTGGTGTGCGTCCCAACAGCATCCAGTTCTTCAAAAAAGGTTTCTGCGTTGGTCGAGTCCAGTGCTAATTGGGACAGTAGATGGAATCTGGCGGAAGGGAGCCAGTCGCGGCAGACAAGCGTACAGGCCGAGAGCGTACTGCTGTCCGAATGCATGAAATCGAGGACTACGTCAACGAGTTCTGGTGGGAACATGATAGGGTGCGGAAGAATACACACACAACTGGAAGGGGATATGTCAGAGTTGAGAGAAAAGGAAGCAAAAAGCAAAAGCAAAGTTATGACAACAGAGGGATTCGAACCCTCGCCCCGGAGGACCAGATGTTTAGCTGAATGCCTGATTCTGGCGCCTTAGACCACTCGGCCATATTGCCCCTTCTCGTGGATAGAGGAGTTCAGGTATCTCAAGGTGTGAATCCGTCCTGTGGTTGCACAGGAAGAAATTGTGGCACTTCAACTTACCGTTGCTTGTTGTGCGCGTCTCCCAAGTCAACGTCGACATCGTTCAATAGCGATTGCAATTGCGGGACATGCTACCGGGCTACTGGAGGTGTTATGGCTTGCCAGGTGCTAGCGTTGCGCCGACCGTCTTCTTGCGTCTCTTGGCCTTCAAGTTCTCCTTCCCGTCGGTCCCATTGGGCGTGCGCCTTGGAAATATTCTGGTCTGGAACCAGAAGCGGCGGAGGTACTCGGGAGGGAGTTGGAGGAGGGAAGTAACAATGAATGCATTTTGGGTTTGGCAATCTCGGGGACCCAGCTCTGCGATTCTGGACATAGCGGTCGCCAAGAAGCTGTTTTTCTGCGTCTTCTCTTGCCTTCGTCTGGCCACAAAAGTGATCGCAGTGTTCGGCGACCGGCGGCTCCACTAACGCCAGCGTCCCATAGTCGCAACGCATGAGGTGTTCTGTGCTTGCATGTTCAGCTTTCTACGCACAACGAAAGAGAGCATAAAACGCACTACCGACCCAATGTTCTGGGGCTGCCCGGGTAGACCCCCACGGTGCTCCTCTTTGCTTGGCATCGGTGGGTAGGTGGCTGCTCGGGCACGTCGATAGCATGGGCAATATGGAGTCAATGGCGAGATTGAGCTCCAAGTCGCTGTCAGGCGGATCAGTGGCGCGGACATAAATGGACGGCCATTGAACGATGCGAGAGATCTGGGCGCCTGGGAAAGCCTTGAGGAGAACGTCGAGGCTTCCGGGTCGCTCCATCACTTCTTGAACAGCAATCTGCCGCAAGCCAACAGAGGAGAGCGACGGGATGAGGGTAGAAAGGAGCGGGTTATTGAATATATCGTGGAGGAATGAAAGACGGATGATCGAAGGGAATAGTTCTTCAGTGATCTTGAGCTTGGCGCTCTGCGGAGTACAGTTGTGGTAGGAATTTCGGTCCTTCCCAATGACCAGCTGGTGACAACTATTGCATACGCCGGCCCGCCAAGTATCGATCGTACTTAAATTACCGTTTGCCTTTTGTCGCTTCGGTGTCCTTAGCGGATCTGTAAGATCTTCGATAACTGAAAGTAGTAGCTTATCGGGATCTTCCCTGGCCTCCCTTTTGGCGCGCAGTGTTGCGGTCCCAGCAACACCGCCTCTGGCTTGTCAGCGGCGAAACGCTGCTGCCCTGCAATAGCCTTGTCGTAGGCGGCTTGTGAATTGCCGTACGCCTTGGCGGAGGCCGAGATGCGAATGTGGTCGTCGCGGGAAAAAAACCAGTCCTTGTATCCTTCCCCGAACATGTCGTTCCGGAATTGGAACGGGATTAGATGATACGGGTCCAGATTCATCCCACCACGAGCCAGCAGCCGCGCCAAAGACATGATCTCCTCGTACTGAGCGACACGCAAATGACCCTTGGGTTGACATTGGGTAATACCCGGGATCTCGTACGGGGCCGCCACCGTATCTGGCGCAGCAACCGTGTTTGAATAGTCAGCTTTGAGCGTCCGCAGGTGGCGGCTGACTTCAGCGGAGCGGCTGTATTGAAGTTTGACCGCTTCAAGGCGCGCACGGATGCCGGTGGTCGTGAGCTTGAGCTCGATGGCGTCACGAAGCGTTTCAAAATACTCCCAGCACGCTTCTGGGTCAGCGCGATCCGGAGTGAGGTCCATCAATCTCAACTCTTCCTGTGTGCGCAGGGCCACTTGCTCGATTATACCAACCAGATGGATGATCTCTTCCGCAAGGTAGGCGAGCCCTGGCTCATACTTTGAAACCCCACAGTCAAAGTTAGGGAGAAGAAGGGCGAGGGAGGTTGGTTCCGGAGGTGGGGGAGGTGAGAGAGCGAAGGTTTTGGAGCGGAACGAGTCCAAGAAAGTCGACGATCGAATAGCTAATGGCTGGGCTGCAAAAGAAAGACCGGTCGACTCGGTCACCGATGAAGAAAGCCTCCAAGTCGCATAGAATAGGTGGAGCATTTTGCTTTGCACTTCTGAATGCCACAGACTCAGACTCAGACTGAAACTGCTGAGGGGCGACAACGGAAGCTCACGTGGCTCTGCGAATTACGAATACCGGGTTTGTCAGGTTTTGTCGGGCTCTCCTTGAGCAGTCTCCTCCCCCATGTCTCTCTAAGAAAAAGGCGTCTTCGCGGTCGGCGGCGCCTGTGACCTCTTACTTCTCCATTCTCCCGAAGGCAGAGGCCCACACCGTGAATGGGATCGTCCCTTTAAATTGCAGCCTCTAGCTCCTGCCAGTGGGCTCCGCCTCCGACTCGGACACTGTCAGACCCCCAGAATTATAAGCTTTCTATCGGCGCGGATCCGACTCGCCTTAAAATGTGACTCAGCATATTTGAACCAACGGCTGTAAACCCGGTCAAACCTTAAATAAAACCCGAGCGAACCTTAAATCTCTATCGATGTCATCAGCGAGCGTCAGCATAATTCCGGGTATAGGAGAGCAAATCCTACGCACATCTCACACACATCTTTACCATGGCCTCCAACGAACTGCCCACTCAGAAAAGCGCTCTTAATGTTGTTATGGTGCGTTTTTTTTTTTGAACCTCGCGGGCCCCAGAATTCAACTTCGCGTGCAGGGTGCCATGACGTTTGGCGCCGCTGGAAAAGACGGTGCCAGAGTCACCGAATTGAACGATATCGAGGCAATTCTGGACGTGTTTCTGAAGCACGGACATCGTGAGGTGATTGTTTTACGGTTTCCTCTGTCAAGTTAAGTACGTCTCATTCAATCCACAGATTGATACCGCTCGCGTCTACTGCGGCGGCACAAGCGAGGAATATCTCGGAAAAATTGACTGGCAGAAGAAGGGCATATTGATGGAGACCAAACTATATCCTTATGTTGTACGTCCCCTCGACTGTATTCCAGACCATCCGTTCATGTATGCAACCAACAGCCCAAAGTGCTTACAGGCAATGAAATCACTGGATCACATTCTCCGGAGGTAAAGCGCTCTTCCGATTACCTGGCTGAAAAGGTTTGACACTCTCAAAGGACCTCCGCAAATTCTTGATGATGTCGCTCAAAGCCCTCAACACCGAGTAAGCCCTTGACATTATAGTATGCATTTGCAACCCTAAAACTCTGCCAGCAAACTCGAAATGTGGTACCTCCACGGCCCCGATCGCTCAGTTCCGTACGAAGTAACTCTGAAGGCCGTGGACGACCTTTACAAGGAAGGTTATTTCAAGCGATTTGGTATCAGCAATTATATGGCGTGAGCATCATCCGAGTCCTTCCATTCCCTCGAGATATCTCAATATCCAGGGCCATAGTTGGGAAGTTGCTGAAATCGTCGGGATATGCAAACGTTTTGGTTACATACAGCCCACCGCATATCAAGGCATCTACAATGCTATCCATCGCGGAGTCGAACCCGAGCTATTCCCTTGTCTCCGCAAGTTTGGAATGAGTTTCTACGAGTTTAATCCTTGTACGTTGCATCTTCTCTCTTGAAAATTGTCTCTTACGAGGTGCAGTGGGCGGAGGATTTTTCACCGGTCGATACAATTCCGCGGATGACCAACCTGAAAGCGGTTCGCGGTTCGACGCCGCCGGTCTTCAAGGCAGGGTATGCATGACGCTCTCCCAAAAGTTCTTGGAACCCGCCCTGATCCCTGCATTTAGAATTATCGAAACAGGTGAGCACCATGAAACCCTCGAATAATGTAACTTAAAGCGCAACCACAAGATATTGGAAAGAGCCATATTTTAATGCGCTGAAGTCCATTCGCCCTGTCGTGGAGCAGCACAATCTAACCATGGCGGAGGTTGCGTTGCGCTGGATCTCTCACCACAGTCTCATGCGTCGCGAACACGGCGATGCAGTGCTCATCGGAGCATCCAGTTTGAACCACATCGAACAGGTGCGTAAGTTGTCGGGACTCCATCCATGCTAAGCTCAACGCCCCCAGAACCTTATCGATCTCGAGAAGGGACCGCTGCGTAAGGAAATTGCTGCAATGTACCTGTACTTATTGCTGATTTCAATTTTGGGGTTTACTAGCGGACGATGTGCTCAAGGCGTTGGATGAGGCGTGGGCCAACGTCAAGCCGTATGCCAGCAATTACTATCATTAAATGAAGGGCGAATTTCAGTCGCTGTAGTTTTATGAGTGCTTGTGCTATCCAAGTTGTTTAGCTATGGTTGAATTCAAGTTGAATTTCCCAACCATTCCTCCGGCCGGACCCGGACGACATCGCATCAACTCGATCCGAACCCCTAATGTTCCGCGGAACAAAATTCTACGCCGCTTCGTCCCCAAGTTGTTCGGCCTCGAAGATATTTCTCTGTGACCTATACAAATCCAAGGGTTGACTCGCTAGTCGTATTGCAACAATGTCTGGTTTGCAGACAAATATTGAGTGGCGAGCATAAAGGTGGACTTGAAGTTGTGTATCTGGTCTAGCATTTTATTCTCCTGGAATGTTCCGCTTCGGCGGAGTAGGCAAGGACATATCGCAACGACGTGAATTGACACTGAAGTTGAACTAGACTCGGAGCAAAAGGCAGTGAAAGGCGGTCGGTCATTCTAGGCGAGAACACAATGAAATAGACAGTACCGACATACCAAGGCAGAATGGGATTCTCCAAGATTTACCCGACAACTAGCAAGATATACTAATAGGGTGTTTCAAATATCTGACTTCGAGTCCAACTTGAGGCCCGATTTCGATCCCAACTTGGCTCCAACTTGGGTCATAACTTGTCTTGTTTTGCTTCCGGGAAGCACATCGACTGGACCAAATCGGACGGGGGAAGTTGGAGGATGAAGTTGGAGTCCAAGTTGGATGTTAAATCGTGGTCCGGAGCACGATTTGACATCCAACTTCGAGTTGGGAGCTATTTCAAGTTCCAACTTCGCACGAAGTTGGCCTCGAAGTTGGGCGCGAAGTTGGGGTCCAAATCG